TCAAATTCATAGTATGGAGGTTTGATGATTTATTAGTCCATTCTTCTACAGATAGGTATCTTAATGTTCTGTTATTTCAAACAATGTTGAAATTAACATTTTTGCATTTATACTTACATTTAGTATATTTTACCTTCTAGTAAAGGTACTTTTACTTCAGTAGGGTAGATTCCTACAAATTGGATTGCCAGGTGATCCAGAAAAGCATATTCTGTAGTTACTATGGTATCACTTTCCACTAGCATATTGGCACTAGTAAAATCTCGGAAGGTCTGCATCTCTTCTCCTGGTTTAATCATTACTGCTAGAAGAAATATCGACTTCAAATACACAAATATGAAGTTTTTCAGATGCTTTGTGAATACAAACAATATTTAGACATCCTACCCCACTCCCTGGATGTTATCACGCACTGGATGTTATCAATGTTTAAATTTTGCCTATTTCTATTGAAGAAACTATTCATCCAATGAATGACAGCTCAAAAGGCAACAGATCCACAGTATCCTTAATTTCCCAGCACAGTTGTTGTCTCTTTTGGTGTCTTTCAATCCTCCCCCTAGACTCATTTCATATTTTACCTTTTGGGGTGTGTGTGTGTGTGTGTGTGTGTGTGTGTATGCGCGTGTGCAGGCGCATCTGTGTATACATTGGGATTCCGCTAGAGGTAGATGAGAACATGCCACGTCTTCTACCTTTGTATGTTCTATTTGCCTAGCACAATGACTTATACTTGATAAATACGTCTTGCTGAATGAATTGGTGAATAAAATGTTGAAGAGAAGTCCAGAAGAGCAGATAGTGGCCAAATCTTGGACTTTTTGTATGCCAACCCAGAGAAGCTGAAATGTATCAATGTCTATTGAGAAACCACAGATGTCTAAGCTGGCCAATGGAAAGATAAGATCTGAGGAGGGGAGACTGAGTACTGAGGCTAAGACAAGACACCCAAGTACTGAGGCTAGGTAGGAGCAAAACTGGCTCACACACATTTTTTAGAAATCAAAGACCTAAATTTTACAGTATAGGGTTTGTTTTCAAATGTTTTTTAGTCAGTTTTTTTTTCTGCTGTGACTAAAAGACCCAACCAGAACAATTATAGAGGAAGAAAAGTTTATTTGATGACTCCTAGTTTCAGAAGTCTCAGTCCACAGACGGTCCGCTCCATTCCTTAGGGCTGGAGGTGAGGCAGAGGGAAGAAGCTTACACTATGACCAGAAATCAGAGCAAGAGATTCCACTTGCCAGATACAAAATATATACACCAAAGAGCCCACCTCCTCCAGCCATATCCTACCCCCTTTGGTTACTACTTAATCTCATCAGTGAATTAATTCACTAATTGGGCTAAGGCTCTCATAACTTTGTGATTTCTCCTCTAAACCTTCTTGCATTGTCTCACACATGAGCTTTTGGGGGAAATATCACATCCAAACCATAACAAATGTGGTTTTTGTTTTGTTTTGCAGTGCTGGGGATTGAACTCAGGGTCTTTCCCATTCTAAGCAAGGGCTCTATCAGTGAGCTACATTCCCAGCCTGGTATAGTTCCTTTAGCACAATTTCTAAATTTAATTTGAGCCTATAGTCCTGAGCTTATACAGTATTTTAATTTTTAACATATATTAGACAAAAATAGAAAAATAGAAAAACACAAAAATTATCAGTATTCTTAACATAAAGCAAGAATCCCTATAGTTACTACTTCGGTATAATCTTATTTTATACACACACACACACACACACACACACACCACATATGATTTCCTATTACATGAAATTTTACTCATATATTTTCTTTATATAGTAAATGATTATGCATATATACATACATATATATGTTATATGAGCTTTGATGTTAGATAAAAGACACCACCTGTCTTCAACATTTCATCTTGAGAACATGGCAGAGAATAAGTGCTCATTATGTATTTATTGAATGATTGAATGACTGGATTTAATGTTATTTATCTTTATGCAGAGTTTTTAGTACTTTTGCTAATTTATAAACTAAAATAATTAAAGCTAACAGTTCCAATGCTTCTATGTCCAATGTTTTTCTTCAGTTTGTTTTATCTTATTACTGATAGAAAAAATATGAATTTTAAATATATAGACATGGGTTTCTCAGGATGCCTATTACAGATAATACCTAGGTACCCTCTTCACCAGTGATTTGTAAATATGGTACTGATCCTTTTTGTGAATTAATAATCTTTGAAACATCTAAACATTTTAGTTTATTTGATCAAAATAATTATTTACTAATACCAATTTCTTCCCTTCACATATTCCAGGGAGTTGAAAAGCAAAATAATGTTGATTGATTTGATAATCTGATCTGTCTTTTATTCCTGGAGTATCATTTGGTTAGTAAGCATTGTATACTGAGTGCTTCTACTGGGTTTACCCAGAGTACTCAGCATAATAACAGCCACATCCAATGCCTGGAACAAAGCAGATGCTCAATAAATAGTCTTCAAAAAGGAAAATTGTGAACATAGACATAGTAATACCTCCTTTATCCTTTAGTGAAAGGATGGTTTCATTTCTTTTCCAAGTGATATGCATAGTTAGTACTTGTTAGTCAATATTAACTATCAATAACTGGGCACTTTTTCCCATAGGAAAAAAATCCACATTTAATACAAAGCTTTATATTTACATGATGGTATTACTTTTATTCCTTCAGTCATGACTTCACCCTGGGGAATATCAAGTGGCAGTATCACTGGGTTTTATCTCCACTCTCTTTCTCATTAGAGAAGTCTCAGCAGCAAGGAAGCCATAGGGATTGTGAAACTACAAAACCAAGGGGACTGGTAACTCATGTTATCCTCATCTTTGTATTTCTCAATCAAAAGTAACCGGGCAGTAGGAATTCAACAGTTGTTAGCTCAATCAAGATCTCCTACGTCAAAAGCTGCTTTAGGACGACTCTCGTCCAGCAGATGGCACTATTTTCTAACTCCAGCATATGTAGACTTCTTGAGTATTTGCCTCGAGGTGATTTTGTTTTGTTTCTTAGCTTTACTATTCGTTTAGTAAGCAGCTGCTGACAAGAACTGTTACCTTTTTTTTCTTTTTTTAAAAAAAACAATTCACTCTTGGGGACTTCCAAAAGTCCCACATGGGAAACATTTATTTGGCTGCAGTTTGTAGTAAGGTGCACACCCAGGTAGCCCATATTCTAATCTTCCCGATTACATCCGAGGAAGGGCATTGAGAGAAAATTCTTCTTGTCCTGATAGAAGTTATTACAAAGGATTACCTGAGAGCCACGTGCGACAAGTTATTATGAAGGAGTAACTGACAGTCATGTGGGAGAAAATGATCTACCAAGTCTTTCTGCCTCTATGGTAATAAAACAAAAACAATAGATAGTTCCAGAATCCTTGCTTTCTAAATAGGGCAAAATATTCATTAAATTTTACAGGTAACTTTCCTGGCTGATTAAAAGTGAACTTGAAAAAAAATTCACACACTCTATTATAATTTTTACAATTGTGATTTTACACCTAAATTTTTGCAGCCCCACAAGACATTTCAATACCCTAACAGATGATAGATGCTGCCACAAGTCTGACATGACAGAAACGCTGCAGAAATCAAAATCTGAGAGAAGGAAGAAGTGATTGAAATAACAGGGACATGAACAGGAGTTGGAAGACAGAAGTGTTAATTGGTGGAATAATCTCTCAGTTTATCTGTAAAATACTATATTAGTGAAAATAGGGAAAGCTGGATCTGAAGCATGCGTGCCCCTGATTTTTCGTAAGTATTCCTTTATAAACATGCCTCAAGTTGCTGGGTTAAATGCTGGAGGACTCAATGTTTCCTCTGAAAACATGGAGATGGCCTGAGCTTAGGAATCAAGTCCTCCTGGTGACTTTTTAACTCCTATGAGAGGTACAGCGATTTTTTTAAAAGGTATTTTTAACCAATGCTTTACTTTCGAGACTAGTCGGAGGCACTTTCCAGTCTAGTTTGTGAGTCTGGGCCGCGGAGTCCAAACCTCACGCGCCTGAAATCCCTGCCTGCCTCCGGCTGTCCTACGCCAGCTCCAGGTCCAGGTAAAGGCTGCCGGCTCAGCTACTCTGACCGGCTGACAGGTGGCCCCGCCCCGCCTCCTTGTCGCCCGGGGCGGCGCTCGTCCCTGCTCCAGGCCCGAAGCCGCAGCCCGCGAGCCAGGCATAGCTTGAGAGCGGGCCACTGAAGTCGGCCGCCTCCCCAGGGAGAGCAAGTACCAGGAGTGGCGCCGGGGGCCAGGAGGCAAAGGGCATCTAGCACTCTACCTAGTCGGAGGGGCGTGGGGGCAAGGCACTTTTGGTACTACACAGACGAGGGCCACAGGGAGCCGGTGCCCAGGCACGTCCAGATCTGCGCACTACCCTTCTCCCTTTTCTCCCTTAAGCGTTCGCGACCCTCGGAACCCGTCCAGATCCCTAGAGGCGGTGACTCCGAGTGTCTGCTGTCCGCGGGTCACCCAGCTCAGCCACCCACGGGCCCCAGCAGGATCCAGGGGTCACCCGAGTTGGTGAACCACATTCCCAAGGACGAGCAGCGGGTGGCAGCACCGCCCCCGCTTAAGCGTCGGCCGGGTCCCCTTCTGTCCGGACTTGGGTGGCTCTTGAGCCCGGGCTCTTCCACCGCACTCAGTGAGGAATTCACCCAGACCCCTCCTCTTCCCCAAACTTCTCTGCTCTGTTCAGCGGTTCCTCTAACCCGACCCCTCCGCTCCTTCCAGCTCCTCCCATTCGCTATCCTCCTTTTCTGGTCCCCACTTAGGAATCTGCCCCCCCCCCCCCCCCCCCCCCCTCTCCCGGCCCCCCCCCCCCCCCCCCCCGCCTGCTGGGTCCGGGGATCCTCCCCCCTACTCCCCCCGCGTGCAGCCGCCGCCGCCCGGGTTCCTCTCCCCCCTCTTGGGCGCTCCCTGCCAAGCCCATGATGTAATGGTGTATGTTAATCAGTAGCATGTGGGGAGCTCCGGCTCTGGCGGCTCAGTCCTCCGCGAGCCGACACAGGAGGCAGCAGCAGCGGAGGCTGCAGTAGCGCCCCGGACCCGCAGCGCAGCACTTCCTCAGCTCCGCCTGCCCCGACGGCATGGCCCGCGGACCGCGCTCCGGGAGCCCCCAACCCCGCTGAGAGTCGCCCGGCCCCGGACCCGCGAGTAGGGCCCCGAGCCGCAGGGATGAGCCGCGCCAAGGTAAGTGTCCCTTCCCTTCGCCCCCTTGGAGGAGGACCCATTGGTCACTGGGGTTCCTTGCCCCTACACCCGAGAAGTTCTGGAAACCGGGTAGCAGGAGTCTGGGAGCGAGCCGCCCCGCGATTGCCGAGCCGTTGGGCTCTCCGCCCCGCTGGCGGCGGCAACCACAGCCGAGATTGAACTGGGGGAGTCCCCGAAGCCGAACTTTCTTCTTCGCGGTCGTTGGGGGGCGTGTGCGGATGGCGGTGATCTGCATTCCCCGCCGTGCCGCCCTGCTGCGGGTAGAAGCGTTGCTGCAGGCTCTGGCTGACTCCGTGCGCCGCGTGCTCCCGCAACCCAGCGGCCTCGGCCTGGGACGCGCAGACGAGGCGCTGGGCCCTACCGACCCGCCCGTGGGCGGCGGCGGCTGGGGCAGGATGCCTAAAGCATACACGCGCGTACACACACAGGCGCGCTCACGCACGCACACGGCTGATCGCTCCAGGCAAAGCAGGCCCTGGGAGACCTCCCGGGTGGGCTTGAGTGGCGCGGCGCGGCGCTGGGGAGCCAGGCTCTGTGCTGCGCCGCCGCCCGCTGGGCTCGGAGCTTTGGGTGGGGAGAGTTTATTTTTGTCGCGAGCTGCTGCCGCGGCTGCTCACGGCCTAAATCCAGAGGGGCGCCTGGTGGTGGAGATGCTGGCTGTTGCTGTAGATGGAGCTGCAGCCGCTCGGCTGCTTCTCGGGAAGAAGGAGGAGGAGGAGAAGGAGGAGGAAGGGGTAGGAGGAGGAGGAGGAGGAGGGAGAGGTGGAGGAGGAGGAGGAGGAGGGAGAGGTGGAGGAGGAGGAAGGAACTCTGGCTGTCGTTGCCTCCGCCTCTGCTTTGCGTTAGCCCCCACCCCCACCCCCGCGCCCCTTTGGAGCCGCATTGCAAGTTTTCTGCGCGGGGAAGATCTGTTGCTGGTGCTGGCGTTCGCAGCACAGCTCCTGAAGCCACCCCGGGTGGGGCGTTGAGGGGAGCACTTCGCAGCCGCAGCAACAGGAAGCTGCGGGGTCTCCTCCTGCACCTGGAAAAGAGGCTTCTAGCCATTCCCCGCTCGGGAATAGCCCCTCTCCCGCACCAGGGTGCGGAGCGGCGGCTGGTATTTGCGGGACTCAACCTCCGCGGGACGTCCCCACCCACAGCCACCCTCTGATGCACTCGTCCCCCTGGGCGCGCTCCTCCACTGGCGGAGGTCTCACTGCAGCTCTTTCTCTTCTTCCAGTGGTGATCGCCGCTCGGGAATGCGGGTGTGAAGGGTCCGAGCTGCCACCCAGCGGGGAGAAGACCCCGGGACGCCGGAAATCACCATCCAGAAGCTACGAGAAGGGGGGGAAAGAGAGCGTTCTTCATTCAGTTGTGTGCCTTGTGAGGGATTTTATTTTTAAATTCGTTATTTTATTTTATTTTTTTTTTAAAAAAGAAACATTTCCGTGCTACTGTCTGTCATCGTCTCCGGGGAAATCAGCCAGAACCACCGGAACGTAACTGAAACCAGACAAGAGAGGCAGGAGCCGAGGCAGTACCTGCAGCGTCCGGGCACCAGAGCCACCTTGGAACCAGAACGCGTCTCCGGTGGCCGCGGGGCTGCGGCTCCGCCAAACTTTGGGGCGGGCGGGGCGGGTAGGGGCGCCGAGGGGCTTTGTAGACCGAGGGCGGCCCCCTAACCATGATGTTTCGCGACCAGGTCGGGGTGCTGGCTGGCTGGTTTAAGGGCTGGAACGAGTGCGAGCAGACTGTTGCGCTGCTGTCGCTGCTCAAGCGCGTGAGCCAGACCCAGGCCCGCTTCCTCCAGCTCTGCCTGGAGCACTCGCTGGCCGACTGCGCCGAGCTGCACGTCTTGGAAGGCGAGGCCAACAGCCCGGGTAAGTGCGCGGCCACCGCGGTCCTGCCCCTAACCCAGTCTCGCCGCCTGGGGTCGGAACCCCGCCCCTCGACCGCCTTCGGTGGGGACCCGGACGGCACCCGCCCCGGGGCCGTTGACATATACCCCTCCTCCCCACACCCGGTCCTCGCCGCCTACTTACCTCCGCTGGCTGCTTTGGTGTTTTGCCCACTGTGAACTCCTCAGTCCATTCCGTGTGGTAGCTACGGTAGCATGAATGATTGATTTTTCTCTCATGCAGTTTCCTGGGAAATAAGTAAGTCAGGTCACGTAGAGTCTGGATTTTCTGGGCTTCCACCCGCCCCCCTCCCTTCTTCTTTTGGGCAACGTGGCTCTGGATTTCAGCAACACATGAAGAAGCCCGGGACTGCCCTTCAGCAGCCAAGCTTGGGTTAGGCTTTATGAAGAATACCTGAAAATGCAATTTTATTTTTCTCTCCTCCCACCTCCCACACGAATATTACGGTTTTAGAGGTTCGTCTTCAGAATAATATATAGATGTTACAGACTATTAAGATGACATTTGCAGTACGGATATGATGTGGCTTCACTTACTGGTCATGACATTATACATGTTGGTAGGGATCTTGTTGGAAGAACAGGCCATGAACCCAACCAACTGAGGTTGGGTTCCTCAGTCCTTTTTGTTAGGAAACTTTCCTGAGTAATAGAATAGAATTGTTTCACATTACCCTGCTAGTATTTACAGACACCTCAACTAGTAAGAAAGTGACTATACTCCAAGGTCCAGCAGTTTGCCATTTGCTAGTATGTGTGGTGACAGACTGAAATTATATCCTGGTAGTAAGGGGAGACTGGGGGTGGGGGGAAAGTCTGATGGTTGTGATTTTGGATGGGGAAATTCTTTGGTTCTTGCTGCTGGCTGGAGGGTGAACAGAGCCCCCAGTGTTTATGCAGAGAAAAGAATGTAGGGTCCTCTTCCAGCTGTTCCATGTTAGAGCTGCTGGCCTGCAAGAATAGGAAGAGGTCTGGGCTATTTGATGACAAGGTCCTGTCCAGTCATGGAGACTTGGGAGACAGTGAAGTGAGTGTGCCTTCAGAGTAGCAAGAGGAGAGCCAGCCTCTTCCTCATTCCTCCTCCCTGGTATGGTGCTCATGATGCTGAAGAAGCTAGAATGGGATGTTTCCATATATAGAATCATAGGGTGGAAGTGACTGCTGGAAATTCTCACTGGCCTTTTCCTGACTGCACCCAAAGGATCCTGCACTGCCAAGTATGGAGGGTCATTCTGAGGGAGATTCCATTCATCCCAAGCCTGACAGCCTACACAGTTACTCCAGGGAGGCAATGGCAGGGCCCCCTTTAGTTGAGTTCCACATTTATAAATAGTAGAAGGGCCAACCTTCTTCCTTAGGGTGTAGAAACATAATTAGGTAGGTAACTGATGATCCACTCTGTCTGCTTCTGTCTTTAATGCCAATGGGTAGCTCAGTTTACCTGCTTGGTTTTGCTTTCTCAGGTTTGACAAACAAGATTATATAAACTTTTTCATGCTGTAGAATGTGAAGAATTTAAGTACAGTCATTTATATGTTGAATGCTCGACTTTGACTCTTGTAGGGACTGTTTAATGATAATCATCTTCATGTTACTTAAATGCCGAGCAATATTTTTTTCCTTTTGAGTAATGGAGAGGATTTTTTCCCAGTATAGCAGTTATCTGTTTAGTGAGTAATTAGATGTATAGTATTAACAACGAGTGACTTAGTTTAAAAAATATATAATTCAACAAAATTCAACCTCGGTGATTTTTAAAAGTCATTTGGAAATTTTTCATTTAACCATACCTGTTTACAATGCCTACCTATTTGTGCTGCTAAATGATGCAGAAGTACAAAATATAGAAACATTATGTAAGGTGGGGACCATCTACCAGTTTTTGGATTAATCATTCAGCCTAAACATTTTGCCTGCATGGAAACCCTTGTACTTGTTTTGTTGCGTGGCCAGGACAGAAAATCACTAGGGAGGTCATATAATGGTCTAGTTTACTTTGGAGGGTAGGCATCATAAAGAGCATCAAGATTTGTTCCAGCATACCTGTTGTGCCTTTCTGCATTTCTGGAACTTAGCCAAGAACCAGGAAGGAGGCAAAAAATGTCTACTTAGCAACACTAGCAGAGTAGATGGCATAAAAATCCAGATACTTGAGACCCTCCCCCCTTCAAAACATTCTTACTTTTATTCTAAACACAATCCTAACATTTTTTTTTAATTTGAAAAATAATCCTTAGTGTATTGGGAATAGTACATTTAGAATAGGGTGAGAGTCTGCTGTAATCAGCAGTGAAAAGTGACCCCCTGATAATCTGATAAGAAGGAAAGAGAAAAACTATAACTTCAGACACAAGAATTGGAGCACAAGCCCTGAAGGCTTTGAACTATTGAGGTGGGAAACCTTAATTGACCCTGCAGGCATCTGTTTTTGATGATATAAGCCAATAATTTCTACTTACTAAAGCAGACTACCAAAAGAGTGCATTTTAAAAAATACACTTCTTAAGAAGCTGGGGAAGTGTTCAATATACTTGGGAAATATTTACACCCAAGATAATTAACCTCCAAAGCTGTTCTTACCAATTCAGAAAACTCGGCTGTGCAGAATGACTCATTCATTGAGTGGCTGAGATTTCTCGTACCAAAGTCATCCAGTATTATTTATTTTGTAATCATCAATTAAAACATAGCATTTATTCTAGTGTTTAGAGATTTTAAAACGTGGTAAATGGGAACCAAATTCATATCTGGGGTTTGATTCAGTTTAAAAAAAGAAAAGAAACGAATAATTAGTAATTGTGTGAATTTGGTTGTTTTTTGCAGGACTCTATATTTAAATCAAGAGAGAGCCTGAACATTAAACATGATTTATCTGAGATCTGTGGGATGTGTTTTAATATTTACTTTTCATTTTCTTAAAGTTACTGAGAATCCAGTGATTCACTGTTTGATCTTTTGCCTCAGGTTCATGGTTATCAGAGATCCAAAGAAAATAGTTGTCTCAGTCCCTACTATAATTTGGTTCTGTAATGACCTTTGAAGGCCCATGTGTTAAAGCCTTAGTCCCAGCTTGGGTTAAAGGTATGCAACCTTTAAGACATAGGGCCTAGTAGGAGATCTTGGGGTCATTGGGAGCATGCCCTTGAAGGGGACAATGAGATCCTGCCCCTTCCTCTTCTTCTCTGACTCCTTGGCCATAAGTTGAGTAGTTTTGCTCTGCCATTATATGCCACCAGAGGCCCAGAGTAATCGGGCCAACCTGTTGTGGACTAAAATCTCTTGAACTGTGAGCCACAATAAACTTCTCTCTTTAGAAGTTTGTTATCTCAAGGCATATGTTATAGTGATGGAAAACTGACTAACACAGTCCCTATGGATATGTGTGTGTGTGTGTGTGTGCGTGCGCGCGCACATGCATGTGTATTTTTCTTTTTCACTCCAGATGTGGTCATTGGATATTGGTCATGGTCATCTCTCTAAGATGAGGTTTGCTTCTAGCACCTCATAACTTTAGAAAGGGCCCCCCCCCTTTTTTAGATCACAAATGGAGTAAAGTAGAAGAGGTTTTCCTGATGATATGAATAAGATCTTATTTGTAATTCTTTAATTCATTTATGCATTCAACAAACATTTTCTGACTGCCTACTATTTTTCTGGCTCAGTCTTATACAATGGGAATACAGAGGTATCTTACTGTATTTCATGACCTGGTACATGATATGTAACTCTCAGCATTAAGTCAATAACTAGTATAATATCATAGGTGCATAAATATGGGATTAAATTAAAAGTATGGAGGAAAGAGTGCTGGGAGCATTGTGAATCTAGCAGCTAATTGCTGGGGGCAGGGGTCCAGAAGATGTGTTTGAGTAGAGTCTTGAAGGGTGAATAAAAGTTGGTTTAGTAGGTAAAGAGGATAGTAGAGAACAAGCAAGAAGATATTTTCCAAGCTGGAAAAAAAAATTTATAAAAAGCATTGATTTGTAAAAGGAACTGGTTTTGTGCAAGAAATGGTAAGTTCGGACTGGCTGAAAGAATATAGAGTGCTGAGTTCTAAAGAGCACCAATTAGAAGCAGAAGCAATGTGTGGACAGGACTTTTGCCAGCCAAGGAATTTAGAGTTAATCCCTCAGAGATGATAAAGAACGGAAGAAGACTTTAAGACAGGGGCCTGCTGCAAATGAAGATGAAGAGTTAAAAGATGAAAAGGGTGTGCGTGTGTGGTGCGTGGGTCATGTGGGTTATGCAGTGTTTGATGTGGGGGGGTGGATTAGGAGGTGTCTGTGTGTGGTAAGGGTAGTGTGTCATATATGGTACGTGTGAGGATTATGGTTTATGGGTGTGGGTGTGTATGCTGAGTGTTGTATTCACGTATTTGTATATTTTCGGGGAAGAGTTCTCCTGGTACGTGCATGGTTCTCAGAGAGGCAAAAATGGAGCAAGAGGCAAATGAGTTCAATTTCTGTTTTGGCCTCTGGTGGCATTGTCATGGGGCATCAGTGTACTGGGGCTGTGGGGAAGAAGGATTGAGAAGGAAAGAGAAGTATTGTTCAAGTGTCTGTGTATACCCACAGGAGCGCATAATTTATGGAAGATTCTTGGAGTATAGATTTTGAAATTCATCAGACTAGGCTGATTAATTTTTGAGCCTCAGTTTTCTCATCAGTAAAAATAATGGGGTTTTTTTTTTGGGAAAAAAAAAAAAAAACCTTGTTATGATCTGGAAGGTCCTTGTTAATGACCCAGCAAGGATCTATTTCATCCTTCAGGTTTAAGTTCACCACTCATTAATGTGGAATTGATATAAATGGTATTTTCCTAAATGGTCAGAAATCTTTTCATGTGAGGAATCTTGAAGAAGAGATTAGGGAGGACTTGGAACCCTAAAAAGATACTGCTGTGTTCTACCTACCATTTACCTTCATTGTTCTACTCTATCATGTTGGGTCCTTAAAAAAAAAA